TTGACCATTTTGATGTAGTCTTTTTTGCTCTACATATTGAGTACTACTCATTTGATTGTCGAGCCAATTATACATCAAAAGCGGTAGACTCGTATTTGTCATTAATAACGCGTTTTATGAAGGACCTAAATAAAGAATTCGATAAAGAATTCTTGAGCTACACTGATGGCCACTGTAAATGCAACACCCTGAAGGAAGCATGCAAATAACACGAAATTTACAACATGCATTAGCGGAGGTAAGATATGCAAATGATTAGAATTTCAGCGCAGACGCACGTCACGCGCGCCTATGGCGCCACTTCAAAGCGCTATTTAAGGCTTGGAGTTTTCGTCGATTTTAAGTTCGGCAATTGCGTTTTTCTTGTGGTTTTTTTCAAAAAAGCGGTCAATTATGCCTCGTAGTAAACAGCGATCATCGTTTGATCAAGTATCCGAGTTCGACAGAGGAAGGATAGTGGCCCACCGAGAGTGTGGATTATCTTTCAGGGAAATCGGTAGCCGTGTTGGACGAAACCAAACAAATGAAATGCGGATATGTGACCTTTGGATACAAAAGGATATGACAGACCAACGTGTTTGATCGCATCCGCCTCAGTGCACCACTTAACGTGATGACAGGAACATTGTGCGTATGGCAGTGACGGATCGCTCAGTCACATCACGAGCCACAGCACAGCACATTCAGTCTGTAACGCATCATCCAGTGTCTGCGTGTACCATTCGACGTCGTTACAGCAGAGTGGTCTGTCAGGAAGACGTCCATTGCTTCGTTTAACCTTGACGCAGAACCACAGACGTCTTCGCTGCCAATGGTGCGATGAAAGAAGGATGTGGACGGCAGAATGGAATGAAATTGTCCTTCCTGAGTCACGCTTCTGTCTGCAACACCACGATGGCCGGATTCGAGTCTGAAGACGTCGTAGAGAGAGGATGCTGAACAGCTGCGTTATCCACCGCCACACTGGTCTTGCACCGGGTATTATGGTATGGGGCGGTAATGGATATCACGTTCGCACTCCTCTAATACGCATTGCCGGTACTTTAAACAGCCAGCGCTACATCTACGAGGTGGTAGAGCCCGTTGTCCTTCCTTACCTTCAGGGCTTGTTCACAGCCATATTTCAAACAGGATAATGCGCGACCACACATGGCAAGCATTGTCCAAGGATTTTTCGTCAACCGCCAGATTGAATTGCTTCCCTGACCGCCTCGCTCTCCGGATCTTTCGCCGATAGAAAACATGTGGTCCATGGTTGCTGAACGATTGACTCAGATTACATCTCAAGCTCCCACAACAGATCAACTTTGGCAACGTGTGGAAGCTGCTTGGTCTACTGTACCCCAAGAACTCATCCAAAGTCTCTTTGAATCAATGCCGAGGCGTGTGACAGCGGTGATCTCCAACAATGGCGGCTACTCTGGCTACTGATTCTGGAAGGAACCACACTTCACAGAAGTCTATAAATTTAATCATTTGATATTTGGTCAGCATGTTATCTATGAAGTAAATTTTGTTGTGATATCTCTTGTCTTTCTTCGTGTTGCAATTTAAGTGGCCAGTTGTGTACTTGGACCTACTTTATCTGCTAAAGGCCGGTATTATAGATAAAGCATCAACTGAGCTACTTTTGGAGGGGGAAAAAAGTGTTGTTATTCCCGAAAAAAATCGAGCATATTTAGATCAATGAGCGAAGTGGTGTGTCACAAGCCCAAATATTCTTTCAAAACTGCTTTATAGGACCTAAAAAATATAGCAGTTTGTTTAGTAATATCCCCTATAGTTAATTGATCGCTAAACACTAATCTGACTTATTCACAGCTCAACTCACAGCTGATTAATTGAAGCAAAGCTGCCAAAGCTTGGTTCATCTTCGACTCAATCACAACATTCCGAAAACCTCTTTGTTGCATTATTCTGATAAAATATTGAACCTCTTGTTGCATTATTTTGATAAAATATTGAACCTTATGTTGCATTATTTTGATAAAATATTGAACCTCTTGTTGCATTATTTTGATAAAACATTGGTTTTAATGACTGTAGAGTCATTAGGTAAATATTTTTAAAGCAGAAAAGATGAAAAATATGCAACGCCTTCGCCGGTCCCTGTTCGAGCGCCACTTGTAGAGACACTAAGTTTTTGGAAGCAGGAGAGATAAAAAATATGCAACGCTTTCGCCGGTACCTGTTCGGGCGCCACTTGTAGAGACATTAGGTATTTTGGATGGAGGAGAGATGAAATATATGCAACGCCTTCGCCGGGAATCAAACCTCAAGCCTTTGGAATACTCGCCCAGCAGGCAGCCCACTGCACCACGAAGGCACGCCAAGAAGGTGGGAGAAATAGCTTATGACTTTCAGCAGTATTTCAGACATTTTTATGGCGGAAGGTCCACCAAGAAAAAAACATTAAATAGCCGAGGTACAAATTCTCTATTTACTGAAAATGGATTTATTTGTAAAGAAAAGGAAATGAATACAGATACTGTGTCGATGAAAGTCATAACAGCATCTAAAAAGTTCTGCAAGTAGTTTCTTCCACGTTTATATCCTAATCGAATCTTTTCCGAAGATTTTGGATCACAGTACTATTTTCAAATAAAATTATAGGCTACATGAAGACTCAGTTTCCTGTGTCTACGAACAGCACTGGATTTTGCAATGAACGGCATAGCAAATTCCGCGCTTCTTACCGCGAAACTTTTAAGGAATTGCGTCAGTTATTATGCAATAAATAAATTAAAAAAATTAAAATTAAAAATTAAAAAATAAAAAATCTGAAAGATTCAGATTTTACATTACGCCCAAAGTCGCATTTTTTTAACGTTTTGGACGCTACCTTTATTTATGAAATTTACTAAATTATTATTAAATATTTTCATAATGTATCTATTAAATTAAATTATTTAAACCATAAAATTCAATTCAACAGCAATATCACATGAGCATACCTTTAGAACTTCCGGTACACCGTATTGCGCGCTGGAGATAAAAAAATTTTTTTCGTACAGTATTGGCATTGCTCGCTTTGAAATGGTTGAGTTTCTTAATCAAAAATTTGTTAAAGTTTAAAAAGTATGAACTAGATAATAAAACAAATTCGAAATTAAAAATTCGGACTTCCAGTTGAACATTTTCAATTGGAGGACTACGTTATTCAAAATTCGACGGCTCTAGGTATCGATGATTTTTTACAGCGCTAGAAACATACATACATTCCACGTACATTCTTCATTATTTAATTTCTTTAAATGTTATACAGGGCGATAATGATTCGAAGCAAAATGCCGCTTCGAGACTTTCTGGGCTAACGCGCTTTTTGAATAAAAATTGAAACGTTTCAGATTTTAATTGTTGCCCAGAAAACTTTTAAGGTTTTTTATGCTTTTGCTGAGCTCATAGTCTTGACAGTCTGCTGTTACATTCACTCCTACTAAGGCATTTTTTTCTGGTTATTTTAGCTTTATAATTAAGTAATTTTTCTTCGCACTTATGCCAAATATAATTGAACAGGAAAACTACAAATATTTGAAAGCAGCATAGCGGTATACGTTTAGATTTACCGATGCATCGTTGAGTGTTGGCATAATTGTTTTTTAGTCTTTTCTCAGTTTATCATATCAATGTTCAGTTTTCTTACTAAGATGGCTTTACAAAACTTTTTTTTGTCTTTTTTATGAATAACGTTTTCTGCGTTTTCTTTATATATTAAATACCACGCTCTTGGCACTCACGCCACAAAAAATTCGATTCAACAGCAAAATCACAACATATTTAAAATCAGTAAATATTTTCCGTGCAGAAAAATCCGTGCAGAAAAATTTATTCCGTGCAGTGCTGCCACTTCTCGCTTACAAATCGTTGAATTTGCAAATCAAAAATTCGTTAAAGTTTTATGAAATCTGAAACAGGTAACAAAACAAATTTCTAATTCAAAATTGGGTTTCCAAGTGCCCATGTTTGGTTGGAGGACTACGTTATTCAAAATTTGATGGCTCTACGTGCAGTTTTTTCTCACATTCCGAAGAATATATATATATATGATGTACCAGCTTTTGTCCGGAATAAATAGTTTGGTGAAGAAATATAGATGTAGTCGTAGCTGAAATTATCAGACGATAAGTTTCTTACATTATCAGACAGGATCCATTTATTATTGATCAGGAGAAACAGCAGTTATAAAAATCATTTCCGGAGTAAATAAAAAAGAATTACTAATAACTTTTTGTATGAAGTTTACTGCATCGTTACATTAAAGTAAAGACCCCGATATTCCTTTGCAAGTCCTTTTATAGCCTCTGGAAAGGCGGAGCTTCCAAGAAATGACGTCAGCCTCGTCAGCCATTCCAGTTCGTTTTTAATATCTCCAGAACATTCTATAACTGCACGTGTAGAAAAGGCGGGAAAAACAACTTGACTACGGGGCTGTGGATTTAATTCCACGTACTTTCAAATAAGAGACCGTCGCCATTAAAAATGAAAGGAACATACAGTTAGAATTTTAAGTGCAATTTTAAGTGTTTTAAGTTAAGTTCTTGATTATGGAATTTTATTATTACACACATATATATATATACATTCATGCAAATTCTTCATTACTTAATGTCTTTAACTGTAATACAGAGCGATAATATTCGGCGGCAACAACTTGAAGAGTGATACAACACATTTAAGTGTTTCGACAAAAAATGCTATTTTAACCCCATTCGGGACTAACATGCCTTTTGGGCTAATAACGAATACGATATTGACATTTGTATAATTTTAAAACTTGAAGTTGATTACTATGTATTTTTGCACACTTTGCTTGTTAACTAAATTACCGTAATTGCCTACTTCATTCCTTTTCGAGAAATAAATAGACATATTACAATCTTTATCCCTAACTGCAGTACCAATTCAGAGACAAAAAAAGAAAAGATAACAGAAACATAGTTTGCTTTTCATAGAGGTATTAAAATAGGTTCTTCATGTAGATCTAATACAACATATGCTACCTGGTTATCTTTTATGATTTCCACATAATCTCCACCACAAGGAATGTTTAGATCGTTGACAGAAACCTGCACCGACCTCGAATACGATGCTTGCGTATTGGATGCATTGCTGGTGATGATCCAACTACATCGGAGGTTGTCTGGAAAGGGATTCGGGTAATTCGGGGATGTGAAATTTTGTGCTGTTGATAAAGCAGTCAGAGAGGAAGGTCCACATGGGGCTGAAACAATAAAAATATTCACTTAATGAACTAGCTTTATACACTTTATTAGTCTAAAGACATGATCATTATCTTCTACATCGCATATGTAGAATTATAATTAACTCCTTCACATCCAATCCGCCCGACACGGCCCTACATTGAAACAACCAGAAACCAACCGCCCGAAAACGGCAGAGATTGTAATCTTCTTTTCTTCCCCCCCAAGGTAGCACTTCCCCCCCCCCAAGTATGCACTAGCAAGTGCACTTTCTCCAAATGCATTGTATCAGTTTACTGCAGACAGCTTGTCCTAAGAGGTTGTTTTTTATCTTTTGTTTGATCGTGACATTTCATTGTTGATTCTTTTGTGATACAGTGTGCTTTTAAGCTTTAAACAGCAATAAAATAGCAGTTTAAAAATTTAAGGATTATATTTACCGTAATTTCGGGAAGAAACGCCGCGGCGTTTACGTGTTTAAAACTTAAATTTTCAGCGGGTGTAGCGTTTCTACCCATGCGGCGTTTAGGTGCACTAAAAATAAAATATTTCCTATGATGGTCATTGTACATAGTTTGGATGGCCTTGTCATTGTGCATAGACTGGTGCTGTTCCCACACAAAAGACCACTCAGTTGGCGCTTTTTGCGAACGTTTATTTGTTTACATTCTTTCCCTTGAACGGACCTACATGCCTTATTCACCCTAAACGAGATCTCAGAACAATAACATTCTTCCTTCTTTCAAATCAACATTCTCATCAGTTTGAATAGTCTCTCTCCTCTGCCATTCGATGAATCTTCCAGGACCCATCCTCTCCCCACCCCTGCCTTTTCTGCAATTTTTTTCAAAGGCGGACACGACTCCACCTGCCTCGCAATAACGAACTCCGACGCATTTTCACCTTCAGCATGAATGTATTTTTCTTGGCATTCTGCCAAATACAGATCCCATCAGTTTGGGTACAAGACTTTTGAATAGTTTTTTAAGTAAGAAGGGAGCGGAAATTTTTGAAAATGTTTCTAAACGGCACAGAAGCTATACATTTCTTACCTTTACCTTAATTTATTTTGAGTTATGGTTTCATTTCATGCATTTTTTCTTAACTGGTATGTCATATATCAGGACTTAGGTTGGTGAGTTTTTTGCATCTATACGGCCCCACGACGATGTCACGCGCAATTTAATCTATTGCGGCGTTTACGCTGATGCGGCATTTCTGTGTAATTTTAATTTTTTTCCCGCCATTTTTCTCGAGTGCGGCGTTTACGCTGATGCGGCCTTTCTTCCGGAAATTACGGTATTTTTAAACAATTTATTCCTTCTTATAAACTCCTTCTTATAAACTTTTATCCTTCTTAAATAAACAAAATCTCAGTCGTGATCATAACAAAGCCGGAAAGGTATGTTGATCTGACCTTCAGAATAGTTTTATAAAGAACGGGGTCAAAGGCTAATGGAATCTTTGTTAGAAAGTACAAAGGATGTCATTGGGAATCTTCACACCTATTTTCTGCGTTAATGGACGGGGAGGGGAGGGAATTGCTGTGAAACTGGAAAAGTATTTCGGGCGGTTGTGGTATTTTGAGGATACAGCTTAGCGAAGGGTCTGGATTTCAAAGAGTTAAATATTTACCACAAAAACAATCCCACTTTTGACAAATACTCACTCTAGTCGTGGACTAATTTATATCAATTTAAATAAAGGCCCACCAGCCGCCGAGCGGTAAAGTCGCTGAACACTGATAGTTCGGTCCGAGGTTCGAATCCCGCGAACGGGCTGGCTGCATGGGCGTTTTCGTGGTTTTCCCCATGTGTAACGTGTATAGGAGCCAGTTTCCCTTAGAAAGTCCTCCACGAAGGCATCCCTCCCCTTAGGCAGATAGCCCTCGAGGCTTTGCCATAATCACACAGACACCCACACAATTTAAATAAAAGTGAATAAAAATTGAAAAATACCGAAAAAGATAAAACACCAAATACTGTTAAAAACGGTTAAAAATAATTTTTTCAATTAAAATTAGAGAGGTTCTTACCCCAAAACAAACAATTCGGGCAACGGACAGAAAGACAGATTTTTGGTGGAAAAAATTGAAAGTTTACTTTTGGTTTCGCTCCGCAGAAAGACACTGAAGTTGGTGCACAAACTGACTTATTTCAGTATTCTACTAACAGTTTGAATACAAACAAATAGTGGCTTCATAACACTTCAGTACCACATAAATAAAATAAGAAATAAGAATGGATAACAGACTTTTTTCTTTCACATTTTTTTTTCTGCATTCAAGAAGTGAGCTGTAAACGTCGTTCAGCTACCTTCGGCTTTTGGGGGACACGACAATACAACAGGCAAATGGAGGTGCAAATGCAAATGGAGGTGATCGAGATTCAATGCAACTCAAATTATTTATTTATTTTCCGCTATGGATAACATAAATAATTCCTGACAGCAGAGGAATAACGTGACTTGATTTCCTCCAGATGGCGTTTGTGTCTTCTATAAAATAACTGTAATCCCCTGATATGTGACCAATTATGACATATGCGGCGCCAGCCTGGGCTACCGCCACTGAAAAAGATATAGAGAAACTCCAGAAAGTGCAGAACAAGTTCCTTAAGATTAGCACAAATGCCCACTATTATGTCAGAAACGAAGTATTGCATAGAGACATGAAAATTGAACCACTAAATCAATTTATTCGCAAGATTAATGCAAGTTTCTTCAATGGTGCGGTAAATTGCGAACATCTTATGAACTTTAACTTGTTTCACTACGAGATACTTGCCGAAGATAGGTTTCTCAGTCCTTATGCTGCTTACCTGATTAAGGAAAATCAAGACTTTCCCACTTAATTAGTGTCTATTAAATAATGATCACGATAAAATCTACTTTCAGTGACACCAAACTCAAGCAGCAAGCGTCTGAGCCTCATCTTAGATTACGACCTCTTCTTTCCCGTGCCTTGTGTTTATCTCCTGACGTACTTGGACTAATATGCATATGTAAATAATTTAGAAGACTGATTTATATAATTAATTTTACTATTTCTACTTTCATATATGTTTTGTACTGTCTTTAATTGCCATTTTAGCGAGGTATTCCTCAGAAGACTCGCAACCAATGATAAGTCAGCTTGCAGCCCACGTGACAACTGGTCACGCCCCTTCGCCATTAGCTCCTGCCCTTCTGGACTCACACTTCGAACTTATTTTCTTTTCAGCGCCCAAAGAGCAAACATCTGATGACAGCCGGAACACATCAAGCAGAATGCTTGATAATCTCGGCATTCGAATAAAAAATTCATTTGAATCATTCGAATAAAAAAGAAGTTTTTAGCAAAACAATCTAATTTTAAAACGTAGCGGGGAAAAAAAAAAACTTACATGGAATTACAGAGTATCTGAATACAAATCCAGCCAAGTTTATGTCATTATTTGAGTGGAAAATGACGGTTACTTTATCTCCGGATGTAATGATAGGTGACGGAGCAATGGAGCCACAGTAGCGGCCTATGAGGGGGCTGTCTTTCGATACACCATCTCTCACCTAGGAAGTAAAACAAAAACTTAAAATTCCCCATTTTTAGGAATTATTAACTGTAATTGGCTTAAAGTAAAATAAACGTATATTTTATGAATTCGCTTTAAGTTGCTAGATCAAAATTTAGAAATAGAGCAAAAACCGACGAAATTAACCAAGGACGTGTTGATGAGGAATATGATAAATACTATAAAAACGTATGAAAAATTTTATATTACATGATTTTAGATTTAAATCGTGTCCAAATTGCAGACTTAGATTAACGCAAATCTGGAATAAAACTATCAATTTCCGGGGGGGGGGGGTGGTGACACAGGTCTCTCTTCTTCAGGAGCTACAGCATTTTGATTCTGAAGAAAAACAGGTCGCATTCTTGCACCTGTAAGATATATTTTAATTTTATAACAGTTATTTTAATTTTATTGTACTTTCCGATCGGTTCTTGTTTCCACTTGCAACTTCCTACCAGAATGAGTTTTTAGAATCGCTTTGAAGGCAAATGAGTTAGAAGTAGTATTAAAGGAAGGTTCAGCTTACTTGGAGAGAGAGCTAGGAATCCTGAGTAGCGCGTAGTTTACCCTTCTTGAGTCTACGACTTCTGTTATTTGAACTTAGCGATAAGGCGTTTAGCAGTTCACTAGGTTCCTGGAGACTTACTTTAGCACAATAAGAGTAAGGCACTCTACACACCAATTCGCTATTTAGGGAAAAATATTTTGTTGCCGTAGAAAAGGCTCATATATCAGCTCTGAAAATCCACGGAATTGTTTTCAAAACTCACGTTAGTCTAAGGCTGTTTTCCTTGATAAATTTTAATTTTCACAGTGGTGTGCTTCTATTCAAATTACTGCTATATATGTATGTATGTATGTATACACACACACAATATTTCTTATATTTCGTATTCTAATGTTTATTTCAATTACTTTGTGTTCTATTTCATAATGCCAATTTCCAATGTTTAATTTTTACAAATAGTTTTGAATTAAAATGCATAAACACGAGGGTGTCGGGGGACAATTACTCAAGTAATTTATCAATTTTACTGCATAAATTGCTTTTCACTCAAAATTAATTTAGCGAAAATGCTTAATCAGAATGAGTTCTTTAGTGCTCTGCATTGGTTCTTGATCCCTTCAGTTCACGGAAATATTTGGCCTAACTTAAATTGCCAATTTGGCATCGCCTTATTACTTGAGTAAAGGACGAAACATCTTCGTATTTATTTCTTAGTTATTGTTCGTTGAATGGGAGCTGGTTCGTTCCACTTAAAAAGTCAACTAATTTCTGATCAATGGCAATGATTACTTGATTTAATTTTAATTACTTACTTCTAATTTAATTTCTTTTTACAATTGAAATTTTGTTATTCATGATTTAATTCAAGTCCCCGTTAAGCATTTTTAACAATTTACATTCAAGTTACTTTAAAAACAATTTTCGGAATTGAACTTACTAACTATGGATTCACTCTTTTTAGATAATTCTACTAAAATTAATCTTAGGAGATAATATAATCAATATGACTTTAGTAAATAAAATATCAATATATATATATATGTGGTATACCAGCTTTTGTCAGGAATAAATAGAATGCTGAAGAATCATCAATGTAGTCGTAGCTTAAATTATAAGACGATAAGTTTAAAAAACAGAATCCATTTATTATTGGTCAGGAGAAACAGCAGTTACAAAATCATAGTTCCGGAGTAAATAAAAAAGAATTACTAATAACTTTTTGTATGAAGTTTACTGCATCGTTATATTTAAGAAAAAGCCCCCGATATTCCTTTGCGAGTCCTTTTATAGCCTCTGGAAAGGCGGAACTTCCAAGAAATGACGTCAGCCAATCCAGTTCGCTTTAAATATTTCCAGAACATTCTAAAACTGTACGTGTAGAAAAGGCGGGAAAAACAACTTGACTACGGAGCTGTGGATTTAATTCCACGTACTTTCAAATAAGATAACGTCGCCATTAAAAATGAAAAGAACATACAGTTAGAATTTTAAGTGTATTCTTGACTATGGAATTTTATTATTACATATATATACAAGGATTTTTGTAGAAGAGAGATTTCAGTTGATTTTAATGTTCCTTCCCCCTGAAGAAGTAGCATTGAAGTTAATGAATTCCTCTTCTATTTTGTTCATTTTCCTTTAAATTTCATTAATTTATTGAAATGGGGTTTTGCTTGTTTGAAAGGTTTTGGTTTTAACATTTTTAAAATTCTTTGTACCATTTATAAGATTATTTGAAATTTATTTATTATAAAATTCAATTTTTGGTCTTTGTGAAATATTAGTTCTAAATTTCTTACTCTATAACTTTAATGATAATTTTTCTGCAGCTTAATGCGCGAAAATACTAGGCATGTTTATACTTTGCTTTCAAAAGTATTGTTTTGTAATTATATATATGTAAGCTAAAAAATGTAAATAAGCTATATATAATTTAATTTACTAATAGCCTTTTAATTCTTCTTTTTTAATTTGTTATTTTCCCTTCATTCTAAAAGAATTAATAACATTTCTGGACTGCATCATTTCTAGATAAATCTATGTCGCATGGCTTGCGTAACGCTGATGACGTAGCTGACTCGGAACCTAAACTCAATTTCGAGAATTGAAACCTTTCTAACCTAAGCCAAAACCTTCCTCTTGGAGATCTTCCATATTGGATAAACGCGCACTTTAGCTTCTCTTTTTGTGTTGCTTGGACGCAACTTCGCTGTGATCTCTTCTATAGGAACAGTATCAAAAATGTAAACGTTCTGGAAACATGATTAGTGTGAACTGTGGCCACAAACGTCAATTTAAATAAAAATGGGATTTAATCCGCCTTGACTGACAAGTTTCCTGGTGATCAAGGATTTAATATTCTACGCAATGAGAATTCTTCCTCTTCACTATGCCATATACATGCTTCTCTTTCAGTATTTTCTGCGTTTCTACATGTCAGTGTTCTTGTATCAGTACTTCCGAATTTGTTTTCATTACACACATATACATATATGTATATGTGATATTTTGCTGCGTAGTCGTCATGGCTGAGGGTGAAGGCACGCAGACGAAGCTAACAAAACTGAATTGAAGAATCACCCTCTTTATTTTTACGCATCAAATCATCCTTTTGCAGACAAGATATTTTTTAATCATAGTTGAATACAATAATTTCGATGTATAAGGGTGTTAAAGTACGACGTCCACTCAGATAAGTAAGCATAGCAGCAGAGATTTTGCATGGCAAGATAAGTTAAGAAGAAGTGACGTAATTGCTGTATTTATACTAGGTAGGTGCATAAGTAAAGCTAAGCTGCAATTGGCTAATTTTTAGTTCCATTTTCAAGTAGTGTTATGTAATTTGGAAAAATCTCGCATTTGGGAGAAAGGATGAACTTAGGGGGAGAACATAAAATTTAGAATAGTCAGTTTTAAGGTTGGCAATTATTCCTTAACACAGCCATCGTATTTTATTATAGCTTATATGTATATACATATATATATAGCAATCATTTGAAGCACAGACACGTAAAAAAGTATTCTATATTTTCTTATGCACATGCGACTAAAAATAAAATCGTGGGGCTGCTAACAATGATAGGTTTTTTTTAAATAAAATCGTAGGGCTGCTAACAATAATAGGTTTTTAAATAAAATTCAGGGGCTGCTAACAATGATATGTTTTTAAATAAAATCGTGCGGCTGCTAACAATGATAGGTTTTTTTTTAATAAAATCGTAGGGCTGCTAACAATAATAGGTTTTTAAATAAAATTGTGGGGCTGCTAACAATGATATGTTTTTAAATAAAATTGTGGGGCTGCTAACAATGATAGGTTTTTAAATACAATCGTGGGGCTGCTAACAATTATAGGTTTTTAAATAAAATCGTGGGGCTCTTAACAATAGGTTTTTAAATAAAATTGAAGGGCTCCTAACAATGATAGGTTCTTAAATAAAATCCTGGGGCTTCTAACAATAATAGTTTTTTTTTTTTTTTAAATAAAATCTTCGAATCAGAATTTTAAGTTAAGTGAAGATAACCATTTGTATGTATATCATTCTATACTATAACTTCAGTTATTTCAATCTAATTGCCCCTATGCAATTTTGTTAAAGTCTCAATATACAGTGGGCATTTTACACGTTTTTAGAACGACTTCGGGGCTGTTGGATTAATGTTTAAAACGTAAAGAATATTATTTTAAATATTTGATATGATAGCCTTTTTTCTGGACTAGATGTCTGCATGATGATTTCCATGATAGCAGGCTTTCGTAAAATATCCAGGTGTATTGATTTCAATTTCATTTCCTTTCTTTTTCAGTGCCTGTCAGTCGTGGTGGGTCTGCGTTTAGAAAGAACTCTTTTAAAGACATCAAAGGCATTATCGTGGGTAGGTGAAATGACAGCGGAATTTGTAGCATTACGCCGAAAATGTGTTGTATGCAATACTTGTGTCAGTCTTTATTTTTCAATGATTCCAGTGGTACTTTTCGAAGTATTATAGTATATATCTTTGAAAATTATTGGGATAAAGAAATGAAATTTTTTCTGTACATATCAAATGTAAATTGTTCTTTTCGTAGTACACTGAGTTGATTTTAACATTTTATCCCACTCTTCTTCCTTTAAATGTCCCATTGTAACAGAATACGCAATACTTTCATTTCACATAAAGTTTCATTCTTTGAAAATTATTGTACTAAATAAATGAAATTTCTTCTGTACATATGGGACGTAAAATGTTCTTTTCATAGTACACTGAGTTGATTTTAACGTTTTGTCCCACCTTTATTATTTTTAATTTCCCTTTTTTACGAGAAACCTGCAACAACTATAAGTCCTTTATTGGAACTTTCTTTGCATTGACAGAATCAGGTTTGCTTTTTGTTTTCAATACTATATAGGCATTTTTTGTTGCAATCATTTAGGTGCGCGCTTCATCAAGGATCACAATGTATTTGCATTTATATCCCGCTAAATAATTTTTATATAGGGTTCTACAAATTCTTCTGAGCGACATGCTTCGACAAAAGGTAATAAACGTTATGTTTTTAATTCATTTAAGTTCTCAATCTTGATTTAATAACTTATTTATTGTTGCCACAGATGTATTTAGAGACTTTGCGATTGAATTTCTCTTGTTACCAACGATTTAATTGTAGAAACATTACTTACCTTTTTAGGATATTTGTTTGGAGTCTTTTTTTCCAGTAGAAGTAATGATTGACGGTTTTCTCCTTTCCGATTAATAACGTCGCTTATTTTGAGCTTAGAAATTTTATTACTATGCATTTCACAACGTTTTGAAGTATGGAATAAGAATATTATAAAGCGCAAAATCGTATCCTTCGCTCCCACAACTTGTTTACAAGTGACATTTTGAAAGAATAAATTTAAAAGTAGCAGACGATATTTTTCGTTTTAAATAATAAGCTTCTACCATTGTTGCAATTTTTATTCCAAAATATTTATATGTATTCTTTATCGAAATCGTTCTAAAAACGTGTAAGTCCCCTTTGTAGTTCCTACATAGGTACCTCATGATTATAATTTAATTGCATTGCATACTGTTTAGGAAGAATGATGTGATAAAATAATATGTTTTACTTCAAGTTAATGGTTTCAAATAGAACACATGATGATACAAATACGGATTTTGATTCTTTGATAAAAAACATCTAAAGAAGGAATTATTGCCAACGAATTGAAAAAAAAGCAATTCCATATTTTTGGTTAGGGATATTCTTTTGAAAGCTATCTCTATATATAAAGAAGATAGTCTGTTTTTTCGCTAATAACTCAGCGACTACTATAGCTATTGTCACCAAACTTTCTACAATCCTTTACTGGGTCCTGGAAAAGGTTATCGTCCACTTTTTCCAACACAAAATTGCTAAAATCAGATATATTAATTAAAACCTCGGAGAAACGACAATTTTCGCCCTCATTATTCCGAGTGGCAACAGTCTCGTAAGCTGGGGATGAAAATCTGCTTTAATCCTATTAAGTTGTTGCCACTGCTCGCTTTCAAATTGTAGAGTTTTTTAATAAAAAATTTCTAAGTTTTACAATGAAACAAAAACAACATTGCCAAACATTTAAATACATTATTCCCTATTCCAAAAATTCGTGGGTGGCCATTTCGACTATTTTCATCTTCCTACAACTCAGTCGAGATATTAATGAAAAGCTTTGAAACATTCATTTTCGCACTCATTTATCCGAGTGGCAACAGCCTCGCGCGTTGGAGATAAAAATGCTTTGTTTCGAAAACTGTTGCTACTGCTAGCTTTCAAATCGTAGAGTTTGCTAATCGAAAATTTGTAAGTTTTACAAAATTTCTCTCTATATTGTTGCGTTTTTCCTATTCTTCTGACACCAGTTGTTACGTTATTTTCTTCCTTCACGTTCGTAAGGGGTTCGTATGGATTTGGAGTGAATAACGACGACACTTGATGAAGTATCGAAACACACTTTATTTGCCAGAATTGTAAGGACAGCTTCAAAATACGTTTTACAGTCGTCAATGAACTACTATCGATGTACGTCGATGAACACGCTGGCACGATCAGCGACACAGTCTTCACACTGTCAGGCTATAACGGTGGAGACAGCTTCACTGCAAAGCACCCGAGTACAGCTCCCAACTCTGCTTGGTTGTTCTCGGAACTCCACGTACTCTCGAGACTCTCCACGCGATGCACTCGACGATGCACAAGAGTATAGCTCTCGACTCAGCACATTCTGAGACAAAACTCGACGATGCACTAGAAGACTCTCTCGTTGCACTCGGCGCTAAACTTCGAGACATTCGCTCAATGACTGATTATCAGCTCGCTAGACGAGTCACACACACACTCGCCCTGTCGACGGGCACACTGTAACTGACTGCCGACCAGCAGGGTTTATATAGCTTTCGGCTTGTGTTCGAGAACATTCTGGGCTAAACCGATAAGAATTCGTTCCAGAAGGTTCTCCATCCGTCCATGGCATATCGCCAATTCGGTCGCCAAATATCGCCAAATGGGCGATTTTTCGCCAACTATGGCAATTTTGCCTTCCCTTGCCATTTAGTGGCAACCCTAAAACTGCTTTGCAGAGAAGCCATCTTACTGTGCCTGTACATTTCGTAACAATATATATACCTATACATAAAGAAGAATGCCTGTTTGTGTGTTTGTTCGCGTTATTGATTTCTCATCAATAATGAGCAGTTTTTGCCACATTTAATGGACTAAAATTGAATATAGTTGAAGTATTGGATGAAATTTAAGCTCTTACGACTATTTGATAAGAAAAAGGAAAATCATTAAAAACCGCGTGTTATTGTTGCTGGTGTAATAAGAAATAAGTTTATTTTTCTATCGAAATTTTTTATGTGAGTTCCATACCGCATCAGACTGAAAAATGTATCACTACGAATCGTACTTTTTGAATCGTTATTAGAGAAGGATTACAGCGGTATCGTTCTCTCTGTTGTTAGGTGCATTACTCTCAATCTAACGGGTACTTCAGCTAGTATTTTAATATTTTCAGTTATAAAGTCATTTAATACTTACCTCTAGGTAATCAAAAATGCATGAGTTATTACTTGCGTCCTCTATGTTGAAAGACGTGAAATTCAGCAAAATCACTTGGTCAGGAGAAGAACTGACGATCAGCCAACTGCAGTCAAGGTTAGGTTCGTAAGATCCATCTGGATTTACATCTGGAGTTAATATTTGCCCGATTTCTCCGTTCGATACGCTATGAACGCCACCACAACCTTGAGAGACACCTAAAAGGGTGTAGAGACATTAGGTTATTTTTTGGAAGTAGAATCATGACAAATTAGAAGCGCCTTCACCGGTGATCGAATCACGGATCTCTGGAATACGCGCCCAGCGTGCAGACCACGACACCACGAAGGCATGCTAAGAAGGCGGAAGAAATACCGTATAACCTGGCTTGAAAATTAGAAAAATGCTACGAAAAAAGATGATTCATTCATTCTTCTTTAATTAAAATAGAGCTATTTTACTATTATTGCAGAGGTGTTTGAATTATAAGATGTTTTCTCCCTTCCTTCCGCTTGCCTTCGCGGTATAATTGGAAGCAAACCCGATGCGTATTTCTATGTTCTAAGATTAAGAGCTGCTCCACTGGGGTTTACCTGAGCTAACGCAGACATCTGACTCAACCGACGCTTCTCCAAAACCAGTCTTTCTTCATAGCAGAGCGAGTTGAAAAATATGAACTTCAGGTATACGTATACGAACTTCAGTTTGCTACTGGAGTATATCTTAGCTAACAGTTCCATATGTCGACTAACTCCGCTGTGCCTGCAGTTCAGATTTTTCAACTAGCTGCCCTATATGAAAAACTGGTTCTGGAGATGGGTCGACTACGTCAGTTGTCTCCGTTAGCTCAGATAAACCTCAGTGGTAGCGGCCCTTTAGAGTCCAGGCGAGGGTACTGCACATTTTTCACTTCTGCTCCAAAAACATCTAATGACTCTATAAATGGCGCCCGAACTAAAAGGAATGGTGCACGATCATTCTTCACCGCTCCCCTAATCCCCAGTCGCCTTTTAAAAGGAGGAGCATGTAAGGAATTTTCTTCCCCCTTTCCACATGACTGCGTAGTATAATTAGAAGCATACTCGACGTGTATTCGAGAGTTCGAGTTCGGCGAGGGTATTCACCTCTCCTGCTTCAGTAAAACCTAATAACTCTACAAAATAACTAAATACCTCTTGAAGGATGAACGTAGTTTTATAGTAAATGTTTAAATAAGGTTGTCTTTCAAACTACAGAAACTTTGATTATGAACCATACTTTACAAAACTTAAAATTGCTTTCTGAGAAAAACGTTTCGACTGAAAAATAGCTCTCCATCCTATTAAAAAAGATTTTAGAATAAATACAGTAGAAATTATGTGACTAAAATGCGACATTGAAAAATGTCATTTTTGCTTATCACATGGAAAAATTAGGCATGGTTAAACTTCAAGTCAGTAGGTGTCACATACTGGAATTCTGAATATGCGGTTTGGTATGCCTAAAAAGTTGCCTTGATGTTAATTTTTGCCTGTAGGTTCTGTTTCTTCCTGTAGGTTCCGAGTTCACCAGAATGCAAAGTAGTTTGAGTCTAAACAGTAATTTAAGTTGCACTTTAGAAAGAATGCAGTGGCAATGATACAGTATAGCCAGTCATCCTAAAACAATAGAGGACGAGTTATCTCGTCCCTCGTAAATAACGAGTATTCCGGTAAGACGAGTTATCTCGTCCATCGCGATGAAAGTGTTAAAGAACAATATTTACAACAGAACTTGAACACTTTCTACCACTGAGAGGGCTTCCGACCTAAGGTGATACCTAACGAAAAAAGCCCATCTAGTGGAAATTATTTATTGAAAAGATCCTTTTCCAAACAGTTTTTACATGACAGTGATATTTTTACATGGAAGTGAAAACTATTTACGGTTTTCTTTGCATTTATGTGCTGCGTTGAGCTAATTTTGATATATATATCAATTTGAGTTTAATAAATTTCAATAGTTCAAGAATTAGAGAGAGTTTTGCAGTTGAATAGAATTCAATAGATCAAAAGTTCTTGAGATATAAAGTTTTGAAGTTTTAAGCTCCTTTGATCGAAGATTTCGTACATAAAGTAGTTCAATGCTTCAGATGATCTTGGTTGATTGATCAGAGGGTTTTGGTTGATCGATATAAAACAAATCAGTTCTAGTTTCAATTTAGATCTTAGTCCGAAAATAATAGTCTTTTTTATACATGATTGTTGAATTAAGTTAAAAAATTAAGTTGCCAATAGAATCAAATTTTTGAACTACTTACTAAACTGGTGACGTAGATTCTTTTTGAATCGTTTCCTGTATATTCATTGACAAAGAAATTACTGCATTTTATATTAAGCTATAAAAGTCAAGATGTGTATCCAACTCATCAGTAAGAATACATGAATTCCACCAAGTTTTTGCAATACACGAAAACAGCAAGGTAAAAATTAAAGATACTAAAACATATAGTGACCCTAATGCATAGAGTAAAAATTAAGAAAGTAAAACTGCATGGGTTAATCTCCCTTGTTTGGAGCTCCATAACAGAACTTGTCAAGGGAAAAGTGTTAAGCAAGGAAGATTAATCCATGCAGTTTTACTTTCTTAATTTTTGCATTAGGATCACTATATGTTTTAGTATATTTAATTTTTACCTTGCTGTTTTCATGTATTACAAAAACATGGTGCTATTCAAGTCTTCTTACCGATGAGTTGGATACACATCTTGACTTTTATACTTCATTTAAATTTAGCAGCATACCGCGCTAATTTCCAACTTTTAGTACATACCTATCGGGTCAGTGCATAAGTTCGTGCGCATTAAGAGTATGCGTGGAATTCACTATGACGCATTTACTAAAGCAATACAATTTTGAACCGTTGAACCGCATCGTTTGACTAACATATTCTTCGCTATCACCACTTCTATTATCGAACGCATTTTAGTACCCATAGAAGATATTTAGTATCGGTACAAACGACTGTGCTACATTTGTTATTTTCGTGTGGGAAGCTTCGTTGTAATCTATAAATGAATAGGTACATGGTGAACACACTATTAAAATACTATATGCTTCTTCTTCAAACCACGTACCTTTCCCTCACTGACATCTTACAAGATGACATTCACATTTTTAACGACAACCCATCTACCTCCGATTTATCCTTCCTTTCAATCACGCATATCTTTCTTATTATATAGCAGTAGATGTCTGGAAAAATTTTCGTTTTCTTTTAACTGGAGCAAAATAGTAGAGAGTATTATGATTGGTGTATGCAGAAGTTTTATTTGTTCTCGGTATGTTGTCCTTTTGGATGAAGAAGTGTCGATTGAAAGGAAGGAAAATCGGTGGCTACGAATGGTTTTTTCGTAAAAAAATGTGAATGCTCATCATTGTAGGAGTCTGTGAGGAAAGGTAAGGGTTTGAAGAGAGCAATATATATTATTAAGTGGGTCACCTGTACACTATTCATTTTTATCGCTTACAAACTTGACAGATTCACCACACGAAAATAAAAAATGTAGCACAGTACGTTTGTACCGATTATCTAAATTCATCTTCTATGAGTACTAAAATGCGTTCGATAATTACGAAATTGTGATAGGAATAATATTATCAAACGAAGACGAGTTTCAACAGGTTCAAAATTGTATTGACTGCCCAGAAATAGTTTAAAAAAATTAAAGTTGGAAAAAGCAGCATCCATGATGAGCCCACATTCAGGAAGTTTTGAACTGCTAGAACCAAATTAAACAATTAATTCAGAAGTTTATAGTTAACAACTTTGCCGTCTAAACTCAGAATTGGTCAAAAAACCCCCACGATGGGTGAATATCAAGAAAGTGTTGTTTCATCATGATAATGCTAGACCGCACACGGCTCGAACAACGCCGCAAAAAATTAGCGAATTTAATAGGGAACTCTTGCCACATCCTGCTTACTCCCCAGATATTGCCCCAAGTGACTTCACTTATTTCGTGCTTTACAAAATATTTTACCGGGAAAAAAATTAAATTCTAAACAGGATGTACACAATGAACTTTCAAGTTCTTTTGCATCAAAACCAGGCATAAAAAAGCTGCCTGTAAGATGGCGAGACATTGCAGATAATGGAGAAAAATATATAATTGATTAAAATGTTAAATTGTGTTTTTATATTATTTAATTTACCAAAAAATGCGAACGAATTTATGGACTGACCCAATACTTACTTCTCGTCTAGTTGACTACTTCTTATATTAAACTACATATAATGAATTGGCTTTAGTGTAGAATTGGGTGGTCGATTGGCGAAAAATTTTGTTCAATTTTGGCGATAAAACTCCATTTCTGGTTACCATGATAGTTTTCACTTAGTTTCAGCATCCGTACCGTCACCTTAGGTTTACCGTAACTCTGTTTCAACCTGATATGACGTCATCATTGCGACTTTCTTAAATGTGAATTTTATTGGTTGTTTCGTGATTGCGTGAGTAATTTATGTAAAATTAAATGTAAATTTTATTGGTCGTTTTTGTGACTGCGTAAGTAATTTAAGTAAAAATTAAATTAAAATTTTATTGGTTTATTATTATTATTACTTTTTTTTTTGATTGCGTGAGCATTTCGTTTTAATGTTAGTTACCCGCTTGATATTTAGCGCTATCTTTCTTTATTATATAGCAAAGTAGAATGTCTGAAAAAATTAATATGCGTTTTTCTTTTAATTGGAGCAAAATGGTAAGAGAGCTATTATTGATTGGTGTATGCATGAAGGTTTGATTCGTTCTCGGTATGTTTGCCCTGTTTGTATGAAAGATATGCGTTTGATTGAAAGGAAGGATAAATCGGATGGCTACGAATGGGTTTGTCGTTAAAAAACTGTGAATGCTCATCATTGTAAGATGTCTGTGAGGAAAGGTACGTGGTTTGAAGAGAGCAATATGAGTATTATTGAGATTATAATATTTTCGTATTTGTGGGTGTATGAATCCGGTACGAATCTGATTATGAATGAGGTGAATGTGAAATCGAATGAAAACTGTGTTGATTGGCGTATTTTTGTACGAAGTGTGTATGGATGTATGTGTGAAAAGAATGAGATGATTGGAGGTCCTGGTATGGTTGTGGAGATTGATGAAAGCAAGTTTGGTAAGAAGAAGTATAATAGAGCTAGACGAGTGAATGGTAAATGGGTGTTTGGTGGAATTGAAAGAGAGAGTAGAAAGTGTTTTTTTGAGGTTGTGAAAGACAGATCGAGAGAGATTTTGCTGGAGGTTATAAGGCGAAAAATTCTGCCTGGGACGATGATTATCTCAGATTGCTGGAAATTCTATGACTGTTTGAAGAATGAAGGTTTCCAGCACTTAACCATTCGTTGAACTCTGTTGAACCCACGACTGGTGCTCATACAAACAACGGAGCGGTAAAGTCGCTGAACACTGGTAGTTCGGTCCGAGGTTCGAATCCCGCGAACGGGCTGGCTGCATGGGTGTTTTCGTGGTTTTTCCCCATGTGTAACGTGTATATGAAGATAACATAATAACAGGAGATAATGTGTTTCCGTTAGAAAGTCCTTCAGCGAAGGCATCCCTTCTCTTAGGCAGATAGCCCTAGTGTGCTTTGCCATAATTAAATACACCACCACCACCACATACAAACAACATTGAAAGTATGTGAAGCAATATAAAGCGGGAATTCCGTAAGAACAGTGTTCGATATCGTCGGAAGATATTTTTGATTCCTATTTTGCGGAGTTTATGTGGCGAAGACAATACAGAAATCAGGCGGAAGCTGATCCGTTCCGAGACTTTTTGAATTGCATAAAAGATCTGTATGTGCCGCAGTTTTCCGACGGTGCCGAAGAGATGTCGAAGTAGCGATCTAGGTAAGTTCTATTTTTTACGAATTTTAAACTACATCATCAGGCTCAATCCTAGAAGATGTTGCACAAGTCTCGTTGTTTACTTATCTTAGGCTTGGATATGCGTTTTATGTCGTAATCTTGCCTACGCTTCTTGTTAAAAAAATTTGTTATGCTATAGCTTCATATCTGAAGAAACGTAAGTTATATTTTAACTGAGTTGAAATGTTAGGTTTATAATGTTACTACACGAATTTTTTTTTATAAATGTTTATTCAACTGTGTGATTTCCTTTACATGAAAAGAGATCGCTGTGTACATGGGCAAAGTCAAGGTAGTGCGCAATGCCCAATTTGTGCAATTCTTCGATATTTTTTCTATGAAAATTGATCGATGTGCACATGGACAAAGTCAAGGTAGTGCGCAATGCCGAGTTTGTGCAATTCTCGGGTGTTTTTTTAAGTGAAATAGATCGATGTGCACATGGGAAAAGTCATGGTAGTGCGCAATGCCGAGGTAGCCCGCGATGCCGATTTTGTGCAATTTTGGGATTTTTTTTAAGTGAAAATAGATCGATGTGCACATGGGAGATGTCAATGTAGCGCGCAATGCCGAGGTTGTGCGCGATGCCGAGTTTGTGTAATTCTGGGATTTTTTTTAAAGTGAAAATAGATCGATGTGCACATGGGAAAAGGTAGTGCGCAATGGCGAGTTTGTGCAATTCTGAGATGCTTTTTAAGTGAAAATAGATCGATGTGCACATGGAAAAAGTCAAGGGAGTGCGCAATGCCGAGGTTGTGCGCTATGCCGAGGTTGTGCGCTATGCCGAGTTTGTGCAATTCTCGTATGTTTTTTAAGTGAGAATAGATCGATGTGCACATGGACACCGAGTTTGTTTAACTAGTGAATATGGATCATTGTGCACATAGGCAAAGCGAGGCTGTGTGTGATGCCGTGCAGTAATGTGATATATTTTATGTGAAATGGTTAATATATCATTTGTATATATTAAATTTGCTTTAATAGTAAATTATATTTTAGTTAACTTTTCGTTGTATTTAAGTTCTATTTTTAATTCCTTGGTTTTTATATGTTGATAATGTTTTCCGACTTACGATTATTGTTGACAGTCCGACGATTTACTCAGCAGTAGCAAAACTGTAAACTTTGACCCTAAATGTAACTTATTATTTTAATATGTAGTGTTGTCGTAATTGCACTTGATAATATGAATTCATTGATTATGTGAGTGAAAAACATTGCTTAGTGTTCCAAATTTGTAGTATTTATTTTCTTATTTCCTCTTCATTGTGAGAAAATATATTTTTTATTTACTAATTTTAGAATTCTAGTATGCCTATAGAGAATATGACGAGATTTAGGAATTTAAGAAACAGTGATATGAAAGCTGTGTATGATTCTGATATGCAATAAAATATATTTTTCTTATTTTCATTAATGTGAAGTTTAAAACTGTTAGAAAATAATGAAGATCGTGCCGTTACATAGCAATAAGGTAATTTGTAAGAACGTTGTTTACAGTTTTAATAATTGGTAGAATTCACTTACTGTATCATGGTAATGTGAAATATAAACAATTTTTGTACTTATTTCTATATCTATAAAGATTACCACAGTCGACTCTGGCTCTGAGAGAATACACTGTAACGTCACAAGCTTAGTCCCACCCATTTATGGACGTCAATTAGCTCCGCCTTCGCAACTTTGTTTACGCAGTGTATTCTAAGCTTTTACCCATCGTTAATTTTACATAAATTTTATTCTTTTCCATAACGTAAAAACTTGTTTTAATATATTCAAGTAAGTGTTGCATGTTATTATTCTTAAAAATATTAACATTCTTATAAAATGTGAAATATGAAATATCATTAGGAATAATTTCAAAACTGATGGTGTCTTCTTTTCTTATTTTGGTTTTGCGTAGCAGACATCTTAAAATTGTACCTTCTTGGCGCCGATATTGGCGTCAAAAAAGAATCGCCAAAAAAACAAGGGGCACCCAATTCTACAATTTTACCAATGAATTTCATGATGAAACAATCTCAGGCTCTAACATTTTATAGTGACGCCAAGCTTAGTTACCAGGAGTTAGTTTTTGTTGTCAGAATATTAATTTGTGTTGCCAGACTGTTACATTTTTTGGTATTTATCTCACATATTAATGTGCCATAAGGTAATTACTAAAGCTTTAGCTTACCGTATGTATTGTAATAAACGGCCGAAAATGTGTTGCTCGTGTCCTCGGATGTAGAATACCACACAGTTAGTTGGTTTCCGGTAGATTTGAAAGTCATTCTACCCTTACCGCAGATGCGAGCAAGAACAGGCCCTGAAATGTTTCCGTCAGTTATCTCTAAAAAATTACGCAAACATCCGGCAGAAGGTTTAAGATCCCAATCAGAAAATCTAAAATTAAACATAAGAACAATGTTTTAAAACATTTAAGAGGACAATCTAGACTTTCATTCGTTTAAAAAACTTCAACACGAAAAATCACAAATATTGTTCAAAAAATTAAGCTTTTTCAAAATATGGAATTATGCTAGTGTCGTAGTTTTATGCTCATAACGTTTTATAGCCCAAGAAGTCGTTAACGCAGAAGAGCTATTAGTCTCGAAAAGGCATTTTGCGTTGAATCACTTCAATGGGATGCATCGCTTTTCAAATAGTTGCCATCAAATATTATCGCCCTGTATAACATTTAAAAAAACTAAATAGCGAAGAATCTCCATGAATAGCTGTATGTTTCTCGCATTGGGAAAAAAACAGCCGTACCTAGAGCCATCAAATTTTGAATAACATAGTCCTCTACCCGAGCATGGGCACTCGGAAAACCGAATTTGGAATTTGTTTTCTTAGTTTTAGGTTCTTTATTGGCTCAGTTTCATATTTTGTAAAACTTCAACGAATTTTTCATTAAAAAAACACAATGATTTCAAAACGAGCAGTGGCAATACTGTATGCGAACATTTTTTTTTTATCCTCAGCGCCTGAGACTGTCTATCGGAAATGCTAAAGATACGCTGTTTTGATATGTTTTGTGATATTGCTGTTAAGTTGAATTTTATGCGGTTTATGTGCGAGTGAGTTGAATTTAATGCGGTTTATGTGCGGCATATGTTGAATTTTATGCGGTTTATCGCAAAAGATTTAATAAAAAAAAGGTAATTAACAATAATAATATTTAATAAATAAAGGTAACACACAAAACGTTAAAAAAACGCGCCTTTGTTGTGCGTAATGTAACATCGGAAAGCTTTCAGGTTCTTTTTGCTGTTTTTGCAAGTACTCTTACAATCAAGTAAATTGTAATTACTCATACAATAATTACCTATCCGATATGATTTGGAATGCGATGAAACTAAAACATACGTACTTGAGAGCTATGACTTTGTTAGGTTGAGCTTCTATCTGCCAGATACAGTTCCAGTAGTGATGCGAGTCGTAGTGCGACGGAGAAGATATCACACCTCTTGGATCAGTACGAATGCCACCACAATCTGCGAGAAACAAACAATACTAAAATGTATGTCTCACTGGGTGGCAGAGAGACTGACAACATTAGACCAACCAAAAGATTGCAGTAGCAAAGGAACTCGCACATGTTATTAAAAACAAAAGGTAGATATTTTAAGATATTAATTTAAAACACTGATCTTAGAACTTCATCTGCTGTTTCTTAAAATAAGATGCAAACTTTTATGGAAACAAGTCTTAGTATTGTGGGTAAAAGTATTCCTAAATATCGAATATTTTATGTGCTCCTCGTAGAGTGAAGACTTCAGTGAGTAAAATATTGTTGTTGTTAGTTAGTGTGACTTATCTCACTTGCCTGACAGTAACATCAGAACAAGCTCACGAAATTCTTCGTGACAAAAAATGCAAGCCCTTAGCAACGGCCCTTAGCAACGGCCTTGAGCACCATACAGGTGACAAGACAATACAATACGACTTTGCTCAGTTCCGCACCCAATTTTGATGGAGAGTCCCCCGGGGGAGGGACGGGTTCGAGGGTCTTTCACAGCTTTCTCCCTGCCCCTAGAGGATTTTAGGCTCGCTGCATATTTAGAGTGTCCGCATGCCGCACGGACACTATACATTTAAGAGGTTATCACACATAGCTAGAGTCTCTGCTAGACGGGACTTTTCTGAGAAACAAGATTTTCCGTTTAAACGGAAGGATTCCTAGAAAAAAGAACCCCCGCCTGAAGCGAAGTCCCACCTACTTACGGAAACTGCGTTGCGGTTATGCGGGATTTTTTCAAACCTCACCGAAAATGTGTCGTGTCCCGGGTAGAGACAGCCAATCAGACGAAAGTTCTGCTTCTGAAGGATCACGTGATCCCGATTTGAGCGATAATCCATTACTGTTTGGCGTTCAAGTCTTTGTAGTAAGTGAGAATGATAACCTAGCTAACGTGTGTTTCCTGGAATTCTGCGGGTTCTGAGAATTGTCCCTTTCGACGTCAAGTCCCGCGTAGCCGAAACATAATGTGATTGGGACCTGCCTTCTCCGGGATTCGAACCAGGGACCTTCAGTACGAACGTCAGCGTCGCTAACCTCTATCCCGGTTGGTGGGCAGTAAAATATTTCTTATGCTTTAGTTAGTTACCAAAACGTGATATATACGTAACGAAAAAGTCTCAGAGATGCACTTAATTAATTCCTTTATAAGAATACAATGGTGGCCAAAATTGTGGACACTTTTGGAAATTTTGATGTTTTTAAACTTATGTGTAACTTATGTGTGTGCGTATAGAAAACGTTACATTTCACAAAATGCAAACTTGTATATATCATTTTAAAGAGAATTTATAACTGAATTCAATACAAAACCCAAAATTCAATTCTTTGCAATACCACAAAAGTTAAACGATAATAGTTATCGATATACATTAGATAGTGATGATTGCAGTGAGTTATCAGTACTTAGTAGGGTACCCTTTATTTTTGATTACAGCTTCACATCGACGTTTCATTGAGCTGAAAAGAGTTTTAAGCTCTTCTTTCGTTATTACATGATGCCAGGAAACAATTATAGCCTCAATTAGTTCCCTTTTATTTGATGGGCGCCTTATTCGGACAAGAGTTTTCAAACGGTGCCACAAATTTTCGATAGGATTGAGGTCAGGTTTTTGTTTCCTGGCCACAACAATTTAATGCTCTTTGTACGAAACCACTCTTTCGATATTTTGGCCGTGTGGCAAAGAGCAGAATCCTGCTGAAAAATAAACGAAGCGTTATTGGGAAAGAGATCTCTGATGGAAGGTAGAAGTTTCGGTTCTAGAATAGTATCAATGTATTTTCTGGCATTCAGTGTCCAATCGATGACATGAAGGCGACCAATACCATCTGCTGACATGCATGACCAAATCATAACACGAACTGGGTTCTTCACAGTTGCTTGAATGCAGTCGGGATGTAGCTCTTCTATTCTACGTCTTACATATTTTCGCCCATTACTACCGAATAACGATATCTTAGTTTCATCACTCCATATAACTTGTGACCACTGATCATCTGTCCAATTAATGTGTTCCTTTGCCCACTGTAGTCTTTTTTTCGTTGCTGAAAATTAAGATAAAGCTTCTTTTGTGGAATTCTACCTCTCAGTCCAGCATCTGTTAATCTTCTCCTGATTGTTCTTGAACTGACAGAAAGACCAGCATCATTCAGATCACTTCTGATGGCCGCTGATGACATTTTTCTATCTTGGTCATTTTATTCTTCTGTCATCAATAGATGTGGTGCACTTTTTTCGGCCTTTTCCTTCTTTGTTTTTTATTGAATTTGTCTCCTGATATCGTAAACAAAACTTTCCGACTCCAGATGTAGTCACTGAACCACCCGCCTGTCTTGCAATTTCAGCATAGGAAAGACCACTTTCTCGTAACACAATAATATTACATCTCTTTCTAGGTGTCCAATCTACTCTTTTATTTGATGTCATTGCTTCTTGACTAAATATTAAAAATTTTTACAAAAAATTCCTACTTGTAATTGCAGTGTATAAGAAACAGGTTCTCCTTCTACAGAACAAAGCAAAATAACAATTGTTTCAAGTGTAAACATGATGTCAGCTTCTACTGACAGTTACTAACATTTGATTGCTTCTCAGAACAAGAACAGTGATTGGCCAGGAAAGCTAGACATTACAAACCACTTCATAACGGTGTTTTTTATTTATATTAAAGTACATATAACTTTTTTTGTATTGCAAATAATTGAATTTTGTGTTTTGTATTGAATTCAGTAATAAATTCTCTTTAAAATGATATATACAAGTTTGCATTTTGCGAAACGTAACATTTTCTATAAGCATATAAAGTTCAAAAAACATAAAAATTTCCAAAAGTGTCCACAATTTTGGCCACCACTGCCAGAGAGAAATTTAATAAGAAATGTTATTTCATCAAAGAGCAAAACTACTTATCACCGAAAAAGCAAAAATGATTAAAATTTTGGGCTAACATTGAAACTGAAATTGTTTTTGAAACTATGATTTTAAATTGCATTTAGACGAGTATAAAAGTTGTACAAAAATATCCCAAACATTTTGAAGTAGTACACTTGTTTACTTGTGTTTTCAATTTGATATACTGTCGAAAATGGCTAAATTAAACATTATGTTATGGTTGAACGAAACAAAGTATAACAAAGGAAGTGCGTCATATTATGAAACATATCAAATATTGGTTTTAAACACTTTTCTAATTTAATTACTTTTTACAGTGTGTAATAATTTATTGAAAATATTCTGGGTCCCAGTCGCTCTTTAAAAAGAGAGAGTATATAAAGTGTTTCTTCTACCTTCGTGGTGTAGTAGTCTGCATGCTGAGCGCGTATTCCAGAGGTTCGATTCCCGGCGAAGGCGTTGTTAATTTTTCATCTTTCCTGCTTCCAAAAAATACCTAATCATCGACGAAAAGGAGACATCAATCTTCTTACATAATCATCGACGAAGATCAAAGTTCTAGAGTCAGTTTTAATTTGAAGATGATTTACTTCACTGCGAAATTTTTCATTTCATGAGGAAAAAACACGAAACTTTTCCAAATGAATAGGCATTTTCTAAAATATCAGTGTTTGTTCTGATCATGCTAAATTCATCAGAAGAAATTAGAAAATCCTTCAGAACAATTAAGATTGAAAGTCTCCCATATATAACTTAGTGGGCAAATAATACCTGGGGCAAGAAACTCACAGAGGATGCAAAGCTCATGGTAAAATAGAAATAATGTATATATGGCAGCTATATCTTAGTTGCTATACATATTTTAGGCTTAATCAGTATTAGAACTGCTGTACTCATTGTTCTATCTAGGCATAATCAGTACTAGAACAATGATTAAGAAATGATTTTTTCCACAGCATATTAAACAAATGTGATATTCTTAGAAAGGACAACGGCATGGATCGAAAATTTTCTTTAAATATTGAATTAATATATAATGAAGAGTAATAAATAAACACATAACTAAAATGCGATGTTCTTGGGAAAAGACAAAGGCACTGATGAGAAAAATTTCTTTAAATGTGGAATTAATATCGAATGTGGAATAGTAATAAATAAACACATTACTAAACAAATGCAATGTTCTTGAGAAAGCACAAAGGCATAAGAAAAATTTCTATAAATATGGAATTAATATCGAATGTGCAATAGTAATAAATAAACACATTATTAAACAAATGTGATATTCTTGGAAAAGGACAAATTCATGGATAAGAAAAATTTCTTTAAATGTGAAATCAATATCTAATGTGGAATAGTAACGCATTACTAAACAAATGCGATATCCTTGAAAAAGAACAAGGGCATGGATAAAAATATTTCTTTAAACGCGGAATCAATATCTTATGTGGAATAGTAATACATAAAAACATTACTAAACAAATGTGATATTATTGGAAAAGAACAAAGGCATGGATAAGAAAAATTTCTTTAAATGCGGAATTAATATATAATGTGGAATAGTAACTCATAAACACATTACTAAACAAATGTGACGTTCTTAGAAAGGACAAAGGCAAATGTGATGTTCTTAGAAAGGACAAAGGCAAATGTGATGTTCTTATAAAGGAGAAAGGCAAATGTGATGTTCTTATAAAGGGGAAAGGCAAATATGATGTTCTTAGAAAGGAGAAAGGCAAATGTGATGTTCTTATAAAGTACAAAGGCAAATGTGATCTTCTTATAAAGGAAAAAAGCAAATGTGATATTCTTAGAAAGGACAAAGGCAAATGTGATATTTTTATAAAGGACAAAGGCAAATGTGATATTCTTAGAAAGGACAAAGATAAGGATACCACAAACTTCTTTAAATGTTTAATTAACATCTGATGTGAAATTGAAATATATAAATAAATAGATAATTTTAAAAAAATTCTTTTCCTCACACGAATTCATTAGCAGCCTCTATTCTGTGTTTGCCTCTATTCTGTTATCTTCAGTTCATCATCGAGGGCGCCTCGGTGATGAACTGAAGATTGTTAACATCTAGTACGGAGCTAGCTGGTGCTCAGGTGATCTCTCACCTCAAGAAAGAATAAGACAGTATTAATCGTATTTTGTACTCTTGGTAATTATATGTAAATAATGTTAAAGATATTTCTCACATTATATACGAGAGATTCATTTTTTACAGAAATATACTCTTCACAAAATAATTACTAATTAGCAAACATTTGAAATCTAATAATCAGCATGTGGAGACATTAGTAACCTAATGGATTGGTAACATGAAATTAGTAACCTAACATTAGTAACCTGATATTGGATAATTGGAAAAGCCGGAGAGATGCAAAATGAGCAATCGCCTTTGCTGGGAATCGAACCACAGACCTCTGGAATACCAGCTCAGCGTGCAGAACCACTACATCACGAGGCACGCTAGGAGAGCAGGAGAAATACCTTATAAGCAAACCTTTGAAAGATATTTATTTTTCCGATTTTGTATATTTTTTCTTTGAAAATATTTGTGCTGAAGTGGGGCAGATATTCAGACATACCACTGAGGTGATAGCCGCCAGAAGTATTGAAGATAGTTGACAGGAATGGAAAGATATTGTCGCGAAATGCCCAGCTGCGGTGAGACAGCTTCTGCAAAGAGGGATCAGGGTTGACAGAAAGTGGCATTGAAAGACAGGGTTGCCTGATTTTGCACGAAATCGCCCATTTGGCAATATTTTGTTGACAAAAATGCGATATGTTATAGACGGAGCGAAAACTTTTTAGAACACATTTTTAGCGGTTTTCTGGGTAATATTCTTGAAGGTGGGTCATAAGAAAAATATCTATATTATTCTAATCATTTATATATATATAACTGTAACCCACCTTATTATTATTACTCTCGAAGATTATTATTCTCGAAGGTGGGATAACAAAATACGATAGATGCTGTTAAAAAATAATTGCCGACATCAAAATTAATGTTGTAGATTAGGTGCTCTTCCCCTCTATTGTCCCAAATTCGAGATCCTTCCCTGCTTTGCAACGTTTGATGCAGATATCTCCTGCCCTATCAAATAATTGTAAATCAAAACTTTTTTCTAATTCGGACTGAAATTATTTGACTCCCTCCCTTTTTTCTTTCAACTGCTGCGCTCTCTTTCACTTACACTTTCCTGCTGGTAACAAGCTACTTTTCCACGCTGCTGCTTATTTGCCTAAAATGACGTTAAACGGAACTTATTGTATTCAACTATAATTAAGAAATATCTTGTCCCAAAATAACGATTTGATATGCATAAAAAATAAAGATTGTGATTTTTCACGCCCAGTTGTGCTAAATGCGTCATCATGCTTTTTCAGTGAGACAAAGCTGGACTCTCATGTAGTTACATAGTCCAGCTTTGTCATTCCGGTGCCTGACGGCCAAAATATTACATAGATATATATACCCTGCCTGTCCTGGGAGAGAGTAGTGTCTTGAGTTCAGAGATTAGCTTGACAGTGATCAACCGTGTGGAGATCTGCACTGTAATGCTTTGCAGTGAAGCTGCCTTCACCGTTATAGCCTAAAAGCTTTGTTTCTGATTGTTTCAGCCACATGAGAGAAGCGGTGTAACACCGTGGTTCCTTGGTCTTGTTACGCCACTTCTCTCGTCTAGGTCTGAGATCTTACACCCAATCTCTCGATCTAGGTCTGAGAGCTTACACCCAATAGAATAATTAGATCATTGCGAATAAATACTGTATAAAAACTGAACTGGGTCATATAATTTATAAATAATTGTTTCGGTATGTTTATCATAGTTTTTCCACGACTGTAAACGTATCTTTCGAACTACCCTCTTTAATATTGCCTACTGGTGAACAAATTGTGCTTTGATTCTTCATCAGGTGTTGTCTTCGATTGCTCCAAATCCACGAACCCGTAGAACGCAACAATATGTTATTGTACTTAGTTTTGTACACTGCGGGGAGGTGGTGGAAGAAGAGGTACAGTTCTATATCTCCTGTTCTCCTGGGGGGGGGTCGATCGACGAAATTCAAATTCAAATTGCGTTTTTCATGTCTCGAAAGCGCGACTTAATATATATATATATATATATGTAATAATAACATTCCATAGTCAAGAATACACTTAAAATTCTAACTGTATGTCTTTTCATTTTTAATGGCGACGTTCTCTTATTTGAAAGTACGTGGAATTAAATCCACAGCCCCGTAGTCAAGTTGTTTTTCCCGCCTTTTCTACACGTACAGTTATAGAATGTTCTGGAAATATTTAAAACGAACTGGATTGGCTGACGAGGCTGACGTCATTTCTTCGAAGCTCCGCCTTTCCAGAAGCCATAAAAGGACTCGCAAAAGGAATATCGGGGCTTTTTCTTAAATGTCACGATGCAGTAAACTTCATACAAAAAGTTATTAGTAATTCTTTTTATTTAGTCCGGATATCTGATTTTGTAACTGCTATTTCTACTGAATAATAATAAGTGGATCCTGTTTTTTTTTTTTTTTTTTTTTTTTTTTTTTTTTTTTTTTTTTTTAATTTATCGTCTGATAATTTAAGCTTCGACTATAATTCTTCAACGATCTATTTATTCCGGACAAAAGCTGGTTCATCACAAGGATATATTAGATTTATATATAGCATTGTTCTAACATAGGTATTTTGATACAAAATCGGACTTTTTCTGAAATAACATACCAATTTTTTTTTCCATATTTGGATTCTACGACTCAATTGATCCCTATATATTCAATTTTGTAAAATACGGTACGAAATTTACGGAGAAATTCAAAAATTAATCTTGGCACAATTTTTCCAGTTTGCTCCAAGAATAATTCACTTGGCGAACTTCTTAATGTATGGCAACCTATTTTCCTTACCCTTCCATTATGCTGAAACGGAAAAAAAAGTGACTTCGTTCTTATCTTTTTACATTGTAGGTGAGCGGAAGTAAAGTCATATCGTTCTTAGTTTCAAATAATTTTAGCAAAGTACGTAAACCATTCATTATTATCGCTTTCAACAAATATGAGAAATTTCGAAAGGCGCCAATATACAAATTCACGTATATCTTCGGAAATTTCGAATAAAAAGCTCTAATTGTTTGCAGGTATGCTTAAAATACATTTACTTTAAGACAATTGTAAAATTTCTATAAGCTATAATTCAAAATTGTTTTCGAAAAATTTAGAAAAATTATTAAAAAATACAAATTTCAAAAATAAATCTTAAAGAATGGCTGAATGATCCTAAATTTCGAACTGTGTAATAAGGAATGAAATAAATTTAATAAAACATGAGATATTTATATATACATACCAAATTGAATTAACATGGAGGAGCTAAAATTTTGAGAGCTAATCTTTCAAAAACTACTCGTGCGATTTTTACAAAATTTGGTAGTTTGGTGTAATTTGAGTCGTAGAATTGAAATATGGAAAAACATTGGCATGTCATTTCAGAAAAAGTCCCATTTTGTGTCAAAATACCTATATTAGAACAGTGGTATATATAAATCTAATACATATGCTAAGCCGCGCTTTCGAGACATGAAAAACTCAAGTTGAATTTCCTCAATCGGTTGAGTAGGATGTGAAATATAGAACTGCCCCCATTTTTTTTTTTTTCACAGTGTACATGACAAGTTATTTTAAAGCTCAAGATTACTTTTTTAATTTTTTAAAGGGAAGATGAGTGGTTTTATATTTACCTAAAACTTCGTATTTTAAGTCAAATCCATGAGCAGTATTTGCATTGGAATTAATGTATCTTATCGTGACTGGTCCAAGTAAAGTACGACTGGCTGGTGGAATTCCGTCGCAGTATATGCCTTGTTTGTTGGATTCAGATACTTCTTTCTGGTATATTTCCAAATAAGCAGATGCGCATGCCGGGTTCCCTGAAAGCATTTAGTTTATTTATTCACTAAAGCAGTTGAACCACAAAATGAATAAAACCAAATAAAAAAACACTGTCTTCAGTCTGTTATTATTATAAGACTTGATTAGTTTTCAAGATAATATAACACAAGTTGCTTGATGCTAATTTTTAGCAATATAAAAAATGATAACTGTTGGGAAGTATATGAAATACCATTAACTTTGGCAGTTTTCAAATTTTATTTGATGACTGTAAAGATGCCAGAAAACAATCTGAACTAAATTATAAAACTCAAATACGAGGTTTGGGGCAAAAGTCATTGCAACTATTTTTTTTCTTGTAGTTATGTGAACGGATCACAAAACGCATATGTTTCGTGTGGAAGTTCTGCAGGCATAGTGTGTATTGTTTGTGATAGCTGCCTCTGTGGTAGCGAGACTAGACCGTGGTAGCGAGACTAGACCGTCAATCTGGGAACGCCTGCTATTGTTAGCTGGGCGAGTTCAATATACGCAGGTGAGAGGAATAGAAAGGAAAGGTTCAGGAATGGTTTCCAACGGGAATAATTAGATCGTAGAATGGCTTTCAGTGGGTACTACGGAAAAAAGTGATATTTTCGCTGACTTATTCCCGAACCGTGGAAGGAGTTTCACTGCTTATTTTTATGCTCCATGTGTTATTGAATATTTTATTGTAGGACAAATTAATTTTTATCAATTTATGAAAAAAAAAAAAAAAAAAAAAAAAAAAAAAAAAAATACTTCGTAGAAAAATACGTGTTTGCAATGTAAAACTGTATGCTTATTTAAAATTTGCTTAAAGGCATAACGTTTTGGCGAAATTACATAATTTTGTTTGTTACAACGAAATTTAATATTTATTAGAACTCTTATTACGGTAAAGTAACAGAGTATTACATGAAGTTACAATACGTAACTGTAAAGTTTAATTTACCTAAGGTATTGTAGAAAATTGCAACTGTAAAAAAAGAGGCAGACAATCAATAAGAATAATAAATAATACACTTGCTAACGAAACGCTAGCTACCCTCACAAAGCAGGAGCCCGTTCATAGTAGGCGCTCAATCAGGGAAAGACTGAAATTTCCTATACTCAAAATCCCTTTCTCTTTCTCCTCTTAGCTCATCCCTACTTTCACGTACCATACCTACAAATTTTGGACTCTTCCGGCAAACAATAGAATTCGTTCCGGGATTGAGCGCCTACTTGGTAGCGAGGGCTCTGAAATTAGTCAGTTGGTGAGTGCCGTGCGAGATGGAAGTAACCTGTGTTGAGCAGCGCGCTTACATCAAAATAGCCGTTCTCCGAGGGAGAAATGCGACGGAATGTCACAGTGAATTAGTAGAAGCCCTTGGGAATAATGCCCTACCATATCGTACAGTAGCACGGTGGGTAGGAATGTTTCGGCAAGCGCGTGTGTCAACCAGTGATGAGCAACGTTCGGGACGACCGGTGAGTGTGCGGACTGATTTGGCACGTGCCGTCATCGAGCACCTCATAGATGAAGACAGACGAGGACATTACTGGAGTTACAGAGGGCAAGTGGAATCGAGAAACGCACCGTTCACAGGATATTGCGTAATGAGCTAGCGTCAGAATCCTTCCCCAGTCAAGTTGATGCTGATCGTTGCGTATGACGTCAGGGATGTTATTGTTTGCCACTTTGTTCCTCATGACAGAACAGTGACCGCACAGTACTACAGGGAATTCCTGGTGCGACAGATACGACGTGGTATTCGAGATAAACGTCCGAATCTTGTGGACAGTGCAATAATACTGCATGACAATGCAAGACCATATAAAGCAGATTGTGTACGACAGCTACTCCGACGTTGGGATGGGAAGAATTGGAGCACCCACCTTACTCTCCTGACTTTTCGCCCTGTGACTTTGATCTCATTCCCAAGATTAAGGACCCAACACGCGGTAGGCGGTTTAGATGACCCGATTCACACATGGTGCGGCGAATGCTGAGGCTGATGGTATTCAGCACCTCCCACATTGTTAGCAGCGTGTGGTGACAGAAGCACAGAAGCAGGGGACTACAATGAAGGTCTTTAGGCCCAGGTTTATCATGTCAACTTCATGTGTATTGTGTTAACATTCTTTCGCACGGTAATGGCTATATTGCCCTGTATATTAACGTAATAAATTCGTGTGTTACTATATTTCAGTGCTATTCATTGTCCATACATGCAGTTAAGACCTTGTCCTCTCGTCTGTGTATGTCACATTTTCCAACCGGACTGGTATCTTCAAGAAAAAAAAAATAGTTGCTATGACTTTTGCCCCAACCTACGTAGATGCCAAATTTTACAATGTGTAACATGTATACAAGCCAATTCCCCTACAAAGTACTCCACAAAGACATCCCTTCCCTTAAGCAGATAGCCCTCGATTTCTTTGCTGTAATTAAGTAAACCAAACAAAAACAAAACAATCTTACATTTAGGAGTTTCATCGCTTTGCTTAAAATATAAATTGTTTACGTTTATCAAAAAGATTTGGAGTTTTCAAAAGCGTTTTCGAGTTGCAGTTTATCAAAAAGATTAAAAAGTATTGGTACTTTTCCGTTTCGCCGGCGCAAATCTCGCCAAGCAGAATTTATTGGCGACAACATACAGATACACATAAAAAATATTAGTTCTAAGAATTTTTTATTTTGAAGGCATAAACATTTTAATATCGTTTAAAATTTTGTAAAAAGCCAATAAATAAAGACAATAATAAGTAAAAAGACATTAATTTAAGAATTTACTATGCTTCCATCGTTCAACATCCTGATTCGTCGGTTCATATCACGTGACCCCAAGTGATCTCATCTCACGTAAACTACGCTACAAAAATCTAATTCTCTACTTAATTTCAAGTTGAATCTTAACTTAAAATGCAAGTTTAAACGCAAGAATTATTTCAATTCGTACGAATAGCTTACTCAGAAAATATGTAAAACCGCAGTGCTTTACTTCGCTTGTGCATTCTCATTAGAATGGATGAATTTAACCCTTGACTTTGCCTTATCTATATTTTCACCTTCGGGTGAGCGGTGTAATTGCATCGTAATTAACTAATTACCGCAAATCGTGTTAGGGCATAAAATTTAATTATCTTTGTAAATATTCTATGTAATTGTATGCCAGTGTTGAATGAAACAATCAATCTGATAAGAAATGGCTGCGACTTGTTTTGAAAATGAGGCGTGAAAGGTTACCAGCGAGAATATTCCGTTTGGCATCTGTTGTACCGTTACTGGCAACTTTATCGCCTGCGTCGGCTAAACGGAAAAGTACAAAAATATTTTCTGCTAGTCGCTACGCGGCCAGCTTTCGTCTGGCTTTTAAATGCACCGGAAAAATGCCTAAAAGGAACACCAAACATTAAATTTAAAAACTGCACAGAAATTTACTTTGCAAAACTTTATAAAAATTTTTTTTTTTCAATAAAAATATATTGCATATAAAAAAAATGAGTAACAGCTTCAGTATAGCCCACCTTCAAAGTTTGGCGAATTGTTTTTAGCGTCAAACCGCGTAAAATACGTTGTTTTGGAAAATGGTTACCATCGAAATTCTCGACGAAACTCCGTGTTTCAAAAATGGCGGCCATCTGGATTTTACCATAAATCGTGGCTAATAGAAATAAATTCACGACTATCATACACGATTTTAAAAGAAAAAATATTAAGGAATGATTAATGAAAAGATTAAGATTAAAAGGATGTAATTTTAAAAACAATATCGGAAACCTTTAGCTATTTCACCCTTTATAAATAATTTGGTAAAAGCACAGAATAGGCTACATCAACAACGTTGCGAAGGCGGAGATGTGTGACGTCCATAAATGAGTGGGAATAAGCTTCTGACGCACAACGTATTCTCCATTTACGCTACGCGTACTTTCTATTTTCTCTTTAAAATAGCAATAATAAATTGTTTCTTATCGTAAATTAACATCAAATTCTTTAAATTTACATTTCTAACATTTAAGCTTAGACGTTACTGAAACTAAGTATGATGAATTGTTTATATTTAAAATTACCATGATACAGTAAGCGAATTCTACCAATTATCAAAAACGGTAAACAACGTCTCAGTCTCTAATACTTTGTATTTCATACAGTTTCAGTATTTTTAAAGATTTTTAAGCTTCAGCATTTATACAAATAAAAAAAGATTTTTTAAATTTAAATTCATATTGTGGACCTTTTCAATTTTTTTCATTTTTACGAATTACCTTATTGATTACGTAACGACATAATCCCTTTCATACCAGTAACTAGACAATTTTCATTATTTTCTAAAATTTTTAAAATTTACATTAATAAAAAAAGAGAAATATTTTTTATTCCATATGAACATTATACACAGCTTTCATATCAGTTTCCTAAATTCCTAATTCTCTGTAGGGATACTAGAATTCTACACATTAATAAATAAAAAAAATCTAATTTCTCACAATGAAAGAAAATATTATAAGAAAATACGTACTACAAATTTGAAATACTAAGCAATGCTTCACATACACACACACATATTATCAAAGAACTCATATTATAAAGTGCAATTACGATAACAAACACTACGTATTAAAATAATGAGGTAAAAGTTACTAAGAGGGTCAAAGTTCACAGTTTTCTACTGTTGAGTAGATCGCCGAACTATCGATATTTATCGTAAGTCGGAAAGCATTATCAACATATCAAAACCAAACACTTAAAAATACAATTTAAATGAAAAAAGAAGTCTCAAATATAATTTACAATTAAAACAACATTGCAAATTTAAAATACACAAGGATATGTTAAACACTGCACATAAAATACGTTACATTACAGCTCGGCTTCACAAACTGCCTCGTTTTCCCTTGTACACAACGATCTGTATTCGTTCGAAAAACATCAAAGAATTACACAAACTCGGTTTCCATGTACACATCGATCTATTTTCACTTAAAAAAAAATCAGAGAATTGCACAAACTTGGTAACGCGCACAACATCGT